TTGGGAGACCCTTTTCAAAAGTCAGCGCCTCTAGGGACGGTTGCGCGAACTTCACAAAATCCGCCTTTACTGCGTCGTCGTCAAGCACCGAGGGTGTTGAACCATACCGCTGTGTTCGGCAGTTTGACATGCCAACTCATTGCTGCGTCCCTCAATGCACCCAAAGAGGGCCAAAAGATGAAAAACAACAAAAGGTGAGTCTTTTTTTTTTTTTCCACGTTAAAAACATCAGTATTCGAAGAAATCGGGTCATGCAAATCCGCGCGGAGTGAGCGGCGATCACATTAGGCCTGTCTGCTGCTGCCTCAACGCTTTTCGAAGCTTCGAGAGCGTGTTCACCGCTTCAGAGTATAAAGTTTGCACAAATAAAAATAATCTTTAGAGGATAACCCTTGTCCACGTGACATCGTTCGAAAATGCGTTTGAACTGCTCGAGTAGTCGTGCGATGAATCCCGTAGCTGCGAGCGATTCCTGACCAGTATTCGGAGTTTATTTCTGACAACGCTGCGTTGTGGTGTCCGTTCACATGTTGTGTGAAGTTTCCTAGTAGGTATGGGCACGTAGCTTCGGATAATACCTCGCCTGCACAAGCAATCACGCAAAAAAAAAAAAAAAAGAGAACGAGCGCAAGGAGTGCTCCCACGTCACATTACATGGAATTCGATAGAACATTGTTTTACGTTCACGACATCGGCATTGAGCGCAGTGAACGCAGCGTAGCGCAGAACGCGCGCCTTTTATTCGCCGAGAACCAGGAACTCAATATTTGCGACCAATCAGTATCTGCGCGCGGTGCGCTACGCCGCGCCCGTCGACGTTACGTTGGAGTATAAACGTACCTTTACTAGCACGGAGAGCTGTACTTCGTCTCTTTAGTGCCTGTATCGGGAGCTCGTGCTGCAACTTCTAAACATGTTTTCAAGCGCGCGCCCGGGGCGGTATCGGGCCTCCGAGACGATTTGCTTTGCTCGTCCCCGCAACGTTTTGCTAGAGCTGCTCTTCAAGTGCTTTGGCCACATTATCTCGTAACGTTGCCCGTGAGCATACAACTCGCCCGATCACAGCCGCAAAAGGCACAGCATGCTATAGAATACATCACAGCATACCTGTAGGCCACAACATGATTGAATGAATGACGTGTTGTTGAGAATAACACTGGAGAGTAAAACAGGCGTGTGCATGGGATGCATAGGAGAGTTGACTTTATTTAGGTCACTTAAAGAGCTTGTAACAAAACAAGTAGGGACAAAGAGACACGCCCGAGTCTTGACAGAAGGCTATTTAAAAACAACCAGTAGAACAGCCTGACGGAAACAAGATTTTATTGCAAAGCTCCGTCTGCATGGTTTAAGTTATACAACCACATTTTTCTAACCGCAATAATTCTATTCCCAGGTTTGCTACTTTGGGTTTCCAAGAAGCAAGGACCTCCAGAAGAAGTGGATTGTTGCCATCAAAAGAGACGAAGGGAAGCATTTCAAGGTTACCCAGTCCACTAAAGTGTGCTCAAAGCACTTCAAGGAAGAACAGTACCTGCCTGGTTATGTGAATGGCCGAAGGTTTCTAAAGGAAGGTGTTGTTCCATCCGTATTTAGGTTTTCGGTCACTAAAGTGCCTAGAAGGACACTCCACAGAAACGCCACTGCACCACCGAGCAGTCCAGTGAACGTGGCAGCTGCAGTTGGAGATGAAGCAGGCACACCAAGCTGCGAGGACCAGCTCCCACCAGACCCAAATGCATCCCTGCTACCTCAAGAGGAAGTAGCCGAACAAGCTGCCCTGGTTAGACGGCTTACATCTGACCTTGAGAAGTCTCAGGAAGAGCTCAGTAAAGCTCAAAGAGAAGTTCTGAAACTCAAGAGGCACATAGAAATTCTAGAAGAAGAGAACAAAAAACTAAAACAGAAAGTAAGCCGCAAGTTTTCCATCGAGTGCTTTAAGGATGCCCCAAAGGACGTCCAGTTTTACACGGGACTGCCCGATTATGGAACATTCATGTTTTTGCTCAAGTTTGTGGACCCAGGCCAGAACGGAGAGAATGTGAAGCTGTGGTCAGTATCCTACTCTCAGGACAGCAAGCAAGGTCGGCCCCGAAGCTTGCCCCCTCACGACGAACTCTTCCTTATCTTGGTTCGCCTGCGCCTTGGACTGTTTGAGAAGGACTTGGCCTTCCGATTTGGAATTTCTGTTGGCACGGTTTCGCGCCTGTGCACAACATGGATTAACTACTTATACATGCACTTTGCAAGACTAGACTTATGGGCAACGCGGCAGCAGGTTGATGAGGACATGCCACCTGCCTTTAAGGAGAAGTATCCTACGACAAGGGTGATCCTGGATGCGACAGAAATCAAGTGCCAGGTGCCCAGCTCACTTGTTCTCCAGTCGGCAAGTTTCTCCGCATACAAGTCCACAAATACCTTCAAAGGACTTGTAGGCATCTCTCCAGACGGGGCTGTGACATTTGTGTCACAACTTTTTTTAGGCTCGATGTCCGACAAGGAGTGTGTGAGACAGAGCGGGTTTCTGCAGCTTGCTTTTGACCAGCGTGACTCGGTCATGGCCGATAAAGGGTTCCTGATATCAGATCTGCTAACAGAGATTAATGTGGAACTCAACATCCCCCCGTTCCTTGGCCAAGGAACCTTCACAGAGAATGAAGTGAAAGAAACGGAAAACATAGCATCACTGCGAATACACGTCGAAAGAAGGATTCAGCGTATCAAGAGCTTCCACATCTTTGATCGTGCAATCCCACTGTCATTGGGGCCAGTCGTGAATGAGATATGGACCATCTGCACGATTCTAACAAACTTTCAGAGCCCTTTGCTACGCCAGCAAGACAGTGGCAATGTGGACTAGCAGTGTGTAAACGCCATGTCCATGTGTGTTTGGGAGGGTTCTTATCTGTGCTTTACATATGCTCTAAATCAAGTGTAATAAACTCCACAATATAGTTAACGAGATAAGAGCACGACAATGGTTTTATTTTTGTATTTACATGCATTTACTGCTCCCTTTGCATATTTGTGAAGGAGATTTGGGATGCAAGGATGGGTACTAAAAATGGCACAGTAAACAAATTGGTGCTGCACAGTTGGCCTAAACATAAAGCAGAACAATGTTTCGTGAAAAAATTATAAAAGACAACTGCATCGTTACAAGTGACTGGGATAAATGACCACATAACATATTCAAAACATTTGATGCGACATGTCCCTGTCACTCAAGAGTTTGTGGATTTGAATACCGGTCAGGGTGGCTTGGAATGTGACAAAGGCTTAATCCGGAGAAGGCACAGTTTAACAGGTTAAACCAAGATGAAAATAATGCCACAGACCTTTGTTGCGACATGCTAATGGCCTTCCATTAGTTCAGCACATAAAACTCCACATTAAGGGGTGACACTGGCTAGAGATTTAACTTTTGAACTACTCAAGTGATCGGAATGAAATTTACATCAGATGTAAGTTTATTGTGTAAAATTGCAACTCTCCAAGACAACTTTACATACCTGCATAAGATATGCCACTCTTTGTTAAGAAATCTGATATGCAAATGAAGCCATTAAGCACCATTTTGACGGTTTGAATATATAGTGGGAGGTGTGGGACTTCGGGCTATCTAGTTTTTATAGCTCAAATGTAAATATTTCAGGAAGAGTTATTACCTCAAAATATGAGATGCATATCTGTCCTACATCAATTTTTGAAACCATCGTTTTTTTTCTCAATGAGGACTTCAACTTAAACAAAATAAGCTAGATATCCAGATTCCTCATTAGATTTCAGTTCAGAAACATCTTGACTGTGGTATCGGAATACTTTTACCTTCAAACAAAAGACTCCCTCGTTTGAAATTTGCAGCAAAAAGTGGAACTGGAAAAATGCATTCAAACATTGAACTCTTACTTCGTTACTGCCTCGCAATGTGTTGAAAATATTTTATATCAGCGTAACTATTTAACATATGGTTATCAAATTTAGCATAAAGGCTGAACTCCATGAGACGAATATGCTGCAAATAACCGACGAATTTTGCCCGGCGGCTTTTGCTCTGTGCGTGGAATCAACACAGTGGCTGCTATGTCGCGCGCAAAGCGAGCGTTCGGGTGGCGTTCGCCAGTTATTTGTCACATAATTCGTCCCATGGAGTTCAGCCTTAAGGGTTTATAATTAGGTTTCACAACGAAAAACCTCAAAATTAAAAGATGCATTTTTAAAACAAAATTTGAAACTTAGTCCCATGTCCTCCTTAACACAGAATGTTAAACTGCAATGAAAACGCTGTAAAGCTGCTATAAAAAAAACAGTGAAGAGAAGGGCATCAATCCACAAATGTAGGTAGCAGACAGTGCGTGCTACACGGAATTATGATAACAGAAAGGTGCTGATGGGCACATGCTGGGAGCTTATGCCTAACTTCGGCAAGCATGCATGCACACTGAGAATAAAAAAAAATGTCTTTAGCATTCTTTTTGAACCTGCGGAGCCAAGAGTATATAGTGCAGGGGTGGCCAAGCTGTGGCTTGCGAGCCACATGCGGCTCTTCGCGTGCTAAAGTGTGGCTCGCGGCTCCCTCTTCAACCCCCCCCCCCCCGTCCCGGCCACACGAGCAGTTCCCCAAAAAGAGAAATGGAACATGTATTAAATCGAAAGACGGGTTGCGGTTTGGTAGTCTTGTGCTACTACTACCTTACATACAGTTGGACTCATTTTTACTCATATAGATTGATAGTAGTTTGAGTTTTGTTTATTGCTGAGGACAAAAGGTTGCCCCCCCCCCCCCCAAGCAGCTCTTGGAAGTTTCGTGGTTTTGTTTGCGGCTCTTAGGCCGGGTCAGCCTGGCCACCCCTGATGTAGTGCATACAATGGGTTTCAGACACCCCATAGCTCCTCATAATGAACGAATAAAACTTTCTGTGCTTCCCAGGTTTCGTAGAATACTAAGGATCATTTTAATTTTATACATTTACCCTCATATGTGTCACACTTATGTGCTACTTCTGCACCAGTACGGAAGTAGCACTGAAAAATAAGTCATCCAGTGCCGCTTTGCACGCCAACCACTCATCCTCGGAGAAGTAAATCCTTTCTACGATCAAAAACTTGTGAGAGTACACTACAAAGTCCCCCCACTGCAGCCCGGACAGTGCCATCTGTCCGAGTATCTGATGGTAATGCTTGTGGTCCCTATTCAGCCTGTAGACACCTGCAGCATCCTTCGTCATGTAAAAGTTGCTAGCTGCGTTGAGGCCTCCGTCCTTCAGGGTGTACGGACACTTTACCTCTACAACTCCATGAGGAGTTGTTTCGGTTGGGTCCCAGACAACCCTGTCTGGCGATGCACCAAGCCATGGGCATTCCGGCTGGACAAGGATGCCACAGGGGAAGGTCTGCACATCGTGTCCCAGGGCACGCAAGCAACTCTCATAGCGCTGGACAGCGACGGGCTCATACTTGATGCCGTGCCTATTGGAAAAAGGCATTCAAGGGTCAGAAACCAGCTGCTACAAAGGGATCTGAAAAAAGGGCTCAAGTACTAGAAACAGATACGACAATGAGCATAGGCGTAGACTATGGGAGGGCATCGGGGCTCGTGCTCCCCTGGTGAGATCTGAGGGGGGGGAGGGGGGGTAAAGCCCCCCCCCCCCCGCCCGCTATGATCGTCCTGCCCCTACCGGGAAAATGGAAAGTCTACGCCGCTGACAATGACCACACTATGTACCAACCGACATTAATCGTGTTCACTGTTCAGGCACGGTCATTTCACCACTGCCACTTTGTTGGGAAATGCATCACAATGGTGTTCAAACTGACTTCCGTAAGTACCTTTATAGTTCATTATAACTGAAATATTCTGCAATAACCAGCTTCTTCTGGTCATCTCGTACACACAAACTCACATCTAAAAACAAACCAGCGTGCTGCTAGCAGCCCTCCTAGCGGTGCCCTACATGCGAAATAAAGTGTAGGCGAAAGGTGCGTTCATTTTACATCGGTCCCATTTTCCGTGGTCCTGACTGCATTGATATTGTTCTTGTCTCATCTTCTTTGCAGTGTGTGACTACTCTAAAAGTCTCAGCAAAATGGACAAGCCTTGACAAACTGCAGAATGTTGCGTGAATATGTGCGGCAGCCCATACTGTGTGAAAGAGGCACGTTTGTCGTTTGCTGTCATGGCTACCACATTCTGGGCAGGCCCTCTCCCTCTTTACCCCGCCAAATGCAGTGAAAGGCCGAACGTGCGTGGTGGCCTGTAAACCGCTGGCGTGGTCTTCTTTGGGCTGCTCTCGTTTCAAAGCGAAGACGCTCGGAACATATTCAGTGCCTCTTGATGGCGGTTCATCGTTCATGATGGAATATCGGAAATATTTTTACAACAATGTATATGAACTCAACAAAGTGCTTCCCGCACAGGCAATCGGAGTGCGACGGCACCCAGTTTTTCTTTTTCACAGAACCTATGTGCCCCGGCGGATTTAGCAGAAAAACAATGGGTGAAAAACTCTTTCAGTACAGTCCAAGCTTACAAAACACCACAGTGCTTTGACAAGAATGAGTTTTGCATTGATTTTTACTGAAATGCCATAACAGTGCCTACCTCACCTGGCTTGTTTCGCCCACACCGATAGACCGAAAGTGCATCCAAAACACCACCAACGTGGCGTGAGATAAGAGAGTTGAGTTGGGGTATATATTCATTGCGTAATCATCCTCACTATGCACCACCCTGGGTCTCCATGACACGGACTGCTCTCTTTCTGTGGTGATGCGGCTCCTCAGAACCAATGACAACCGCTGTCACTACGGCTGTTCTGAGCAATTTCGTTTCTACCAGCAAAAAGAATCACTTGGTGCCTTTTTTCTTGATTTCCGCAAGGCACTTGGCCTCCAGTGGTACTGCAATTTTGAAAAAAAATGTTTATTCTGCGAGTTCCTATACCAAGCCGAAGACCAGCACCTGGCGTGCCGAGCGAAAGACTGGGGATTAATTTTGACCATATGGGGATCTTGTGTCTCCATTACCCAGTATGGTAAGTCATTGAGCACAGACATATGCCTCGGACATCTTGGCCATTCCTCCAGATGCGAGCAATATTGTTACCTGCGTGGTGCCTTCACTGCAATATGCTTCTGTGAAATCGCGGGCACTTTGGGATTCAAAATGCGCCAAGCAGCGCTCCAATTTTGAACAATGTCAACTAAAACAAATCTCAATCTATTCAACAACTGTTTTATACAAGGAAATTTTAGAATCACCTGACTGCACGGACACGAGAGAGGTCCTTGCTTGAAGTCAAATTGTTGAGTCCTTTCAGGGTCCAGCTCTCTCGTTCGACAGCTTGCCCAAAGCATGAGGCAGTGAGTCGGGTCCGCCGGGCTGCCTTCCACAGTGGACTCTTGGCCTGCTGTCGGGTGTTCCTTTCCAGAATTGTGGCCTCCGTGGGAGTCACCAGCAGAGACTGAAAAAACAGAGGACTTTGTTAGTGATTACAATCAATGACACCCAGTACATGAGTGCTGTTGCATCAGAATGTGAATTTCAAGAAGAACATGGTCGGACCTGTCTGTACTTAAGGGGATGGTGAACTGCAATTTGAATTTCAGAAAACCATGCAGGGCGGAGGTAGGCGGGACGCTAGAATCCGTACAACACCACCCATAAGGTGATACCTCGGCTGAGGCCGACAAGGCGTGTGACGTCAACATATCCCGTTTCCTCCTCTCTTCGCTTTGCCACCTCAAGGCGGCGAGGCGGAGAAGACGCAAGGCTGTTTCTGCTCCTTCTCGACTTTTCTCAGAGAAACAAGAGGTCAACGTATCTCAAATGTGCCTCCTTTTTTTTAGAAAAATACGGTCATCTATTTGAGATATTGCTGTATGAGTGATGTTTTGGTGTTGGTAGTGTTTGTAGTAATTTTGAGCCATGGTGCAGCTACAAATATGCCAGGATTTGTATAAGCTCCTCTCATCTAAGGTGCTATATGTCAGAGAAACCTAATGCTATTTTACCACTCATAATCCTCGTTACAAACTACGAAATTGCAATACAAATGTTTGTGCTAATACTTGTCCCTACAGCCGCAATGCAAATCAGGGGCCTGCATTAACTTGCACAATGACTCTAGCGGCCCTATGAGATTGTGTCGTCTAACAACTTCTGGTTTGGTGTCTCGGCGGAATCCATGCTTGTGAACCTATGCCTCATGCTTTAATGTGCACGAAGGCAGGGTTTTCCAACTAGCTTGAGTTCTTTCCATGCTGTGGCCGACTGCACGATTCAGAGTACTCAGCAACCTAAAGGAACATCAGCTGGTGCTTGATTTTAACATATGCTTGCCATTATTCATAGATGAAGATGCGCTCACGCTTTGGCAATCAGTTCACCACCAGCCAAAATGGCCCTGGCGGACTCACTCGGGCGAACTTCGAAGAAAGGAAGAAGGAATCAAGAGTTTAGCGACTGAAATATATCCCAGATTAGGCTTCTTAAGTTTTGTTGCCGCTAGAGCCACTCGCAATGCTTCCGAGATTTTGGAACACCGAAAACGACGCTAACGAAAATTTGCTTACGTGCAAGTGAATAGAGCAAATGGTGGAAAAGTTTTACCAGCATGGTAGCAAAACCCGAGGCAAGAATGAACAGGCATTGGGTGATACTGCTTATACTAACTTGTGTTGCAAGGATCCAAGCCAAAAGCAAGTCACGGGTGGTGACCAATAAACAAGAAATAAACAGAAATAAATAAACGTTTAATGTGGCGAACTTGTGCCAAAAATAAAGAAGGAAACAGAAGAAAGCAGAGCGTCGCGGGCGTCGAAGTCGGCGTGTCAGCAGAGTCGAACGCTGGGGCGAAAACTGACTTGACAAGGTCGCGGGCGGCCTCTTATCTAGAGTGCGTCGCTATCTCGAAGATTCGGCGAAAGCGGCTCGAGCGTCGCGTGATCGGGCGAGAATGAACACGCACTTTCTAGAAAACAAAAGCAGGAATAAATGATAGCAGTTACGTGCGGTACATGAATAAACGAGAACTTTCTGGAGGTCCCTGACCGAGCGTTGCTTTCTCAGCCCTGGGCGCGGCATTATCCCCCCTTTGAAAGTGCATCGTCCCGATGCAGCACAAAAACGGAAAACAAAAAACAAAAGGACAGCAGAATTGCTAGCCGGAGTTCACAGTCCACAGTTCACTCGTCGATGAGAGTGGTAGAGTCCTATCGTTCGTAATACGGCTTCAGCCGGACGACATGCACCACCTCGGGTCGCGGCTGACGTCTTGCAGATGGGCGCGTTCCGTCGGGTAGAACTTCGTAGTTCAGATCGCCGAGGCGTCGGATGATCTTGTAGGGGCCAAAGTAGCGCTTCAGGAGTTTTTCGCTGAGACCGCGACGACGAATCGGCGTCCACACCCAAACTCTGTCTCCGGGCTGGAAGTGGATGTCGCGGCGACGAAGATTATACCGGCGAGCGTCGACATGTTGCTGGTCTTGAATTCGTAGTCTGGCTAGCTGGCGGACCTCTTCTGCCCGTTGAGCAACCACCTGGGCGTCATCGCTCCCGTCGTCGACTGACTCGTGCGGCAACATAGAGTCTAGCATAGTCGTCACCGCCCGGCCATACACCAGCTGGAAGGGCGTCACTCCTGTGGTCTCTTGCACTGCTGTGTTGTAGGCGAACGTGACGTAGGGCAGCACTTCGTCCCAGGTCTTGTGCTCCACGTCGACGTACATAGCGACCATGTCGGCGATTGTTTTGTTGAGCCGCTCCGTCAACCCGTTGGTCTGCGGATGGTATGCCGTTGTTCGACGGTGTTCGGTGTGGCTTAGACGCAGGATCTCTTGGGTCAACTGTGCCATAAACGATGACCCTCGGTCTGTGATCAGTACTTCGGGGGCGCCATGGCGGAGGACGATGGACTCGATGAAGAACTTGGCGACTTCGACAGCAGTCCCCGAAGGAAGGGCTTTCGTCTCGGCGTAACGAGTAAGATAATCGGTGGCGACGATTATCCAGCGGTTCCCCATCGTCGACGGTGGAAAAGGACCCAGCAAATCCATTCCAATTTGCTGGAAGGGCTTGGTTGGCGGGGTAATCGGCTGAAGGAGACCTGCTGGCTTTGACGGTGGTTTCTTGCGTCGCTGGCACTCATGGCACGATCGTGTGTAGAGATGGACGGTCTTCGGAAGCTTTGGCCAGTAGTACTTGTCACGAATCCGGGCAAGGGTCCTGCTGTAGCCGAGATGTCCGGCCGTTGGGTCGTCGTGGCACGCTTGAAAAATTTCTTCTCGGAGGCTGGCGGGGACAACCAGTAGCCAGGGGGTTTCGCTGGTTCCGAAATTCTTTCTGAAGAGCACGCCTCGCCGCAGGACAAAGCTCGGTAGGTCCCGAGAAAAGACCCGTGGGACAGAGCCTCCTCGACCTTCGAGGCTGTCGATCACGGAGCTAAGTTCCGCGTCGTCGCGTTGCAGTGCCCTCATGTCGGTAGCGTTAACTGCGCCTAGAAAACGGGCGTCGTCATCGTCGTCCGCGCCGGAGATGGGAGGTTCGACTGGAGCCCTAGACAAACAGTCAGCGTCATTATGCTTGCGGCCAGACTTATGCACAATGGTTACGTCGAATTCCTGCAGTCGAAGGCTCCAGCGGGCGAGGCGTCCGGACGGATCCTTGAGGTTTGCGAGCCAGCAGAGGGCGTGGTGGTCTGTGACCACGCGAAACGGGATCCCGTACAAGTACGGGCGGAACTTGGTTATCGCCCAGACGACAGCAAGACATTCTTTGTCGGTCGTTGAATAATTTTGTTCTGCCTTAGACAGCGCCCGGCTTGCGTAAGCGATTACTCTCTCTGCCCCTTCTTGTCGCTGAACGAGTACCGCACCGAGACCGGTATTGCTGGCGTCCGTGTGGATTTCAGTCTCCGCCGACTGGTCAAAATGTCCGAGGATAGGGGGCGACTGGAGCCTTCGCTTGAGTTCGTCGAACGCTTGCTCTTGCTCCTCTCCCCACTGGAACTGCACGTCGTCTTTCGTCAAATGCGTCAGCGGTGCAGAAATTTGCGCAAAGTCACGAACGAAACGTCTGTAATAGGCGCACAGCCCAAGGAATCTTCGAACGGTCTTCTTGTCTGATGGCTTCGGGAACTCGGCGACAGCGGACGTCTTGGCGGGATCAGGGCTTACACCCTGAGCACTCACGACGTGGCCCAAGAATTTCAGCTCACCATAGGCGAACCGACACTTGGAAGGCTTGAGGGTCAGCCCAGCAGCTTTGAAGGCCTGTAGCACGGCTCGCAGTCGTCTCAGGTGCTCGTCGAATTCGCTTGCGAAGACCACAACATCGTCGAGGTAGACGAGACAGCTTTGCCATTTCAAGCCGGCAAGGACGGTGTCCATAACGCGCTGGAAGGTCGCCGGCGCTGTGCACAGCCCGAACGGCATTACTTTAAACTCATACAGTCCGTCCGGCGTGACGAAGGCCGTCTTCTCACGATCTCGTTCGTCGACCTCAATCTGCCAGTACCCGCTCTTCAAGTCCATCGACGAAAAGTATCGGGCGTGGCGTAGCCGGTCCAGGGTGTCGTCGATGCGTGGCAGCGGGTAGACGTCCTTTTTTGTTACGGCGTTCAGTCGGCGATAGTCTACGCAGAACCGAAGAGTCCCGTCTTTCTTTTTCACCAGGACTACCGGTGAAGCCCACGGACTGCTTGAGGGCTGGACAATGTCGTCGTCAAGCATTTCTTGTACCTGCTGCTGGATGGCTTCCCTTTCTTTCACGGAGACCCTGTACGGCGGCCGATGCACAGGGAGTGCGTCGTCATCAGTAATTATCCGATGTTTCGCAACCGTCGTTTGGCGCACTTTCGACGACGCGGAGAAGCACTCACTGAACTCGGCGCGAAGGTCACGAAGTTGTCGTCGTTGTGGGGCTGGGAGGGATGGGTCGATGTCGAGCTCTGAGGACGTGATTGTCTTGTTCTGCGTCGGAGAGGCGTCTTCTGAGATCACGGCGATCGCGGCTGAGTCTTCAATTTCCTCGACGTAGCCCACAGTTGTACCCTTTGTAAGGTGCTGCGACTCTTGCCGGAAATTGGTGACAAGGGCTACTGTACGCCCGTCCTGGATCTCAGTTACGCCTCTTGCAATGCCAATCCCTCGTCCGAGGAGAAGTTGGACGCTTCCTTCCAGCAGTGCTACACCGCAGGTGGCTCCTTCGGTCCCAACGGGCACAAAGACACTCGACAGCGGCGGCAGGTTTACGTGGCTGGCGAGGACTCGCACTGCAGCTAACGTCGGTTTGGTATTTTCCACCGATGGGGCAGGCTTCCGAAGCGTCAGCTTGTTCTCCGCAAGGTCGATGATGGCGCCGTATTCACACAGGAAGTCCATTCCGAGAATGACGTCCCTCGAACAGTCTTGCAGAACGACGAACTTCACAGGGCATGTTTCGCCGTGAATCTCGACGCGAGCGGTGCATCTCCCGACTGGTGTAATCAGGTGTCCTCCGGCGGTTCTTATTTGTGGTCCATCCCACGGCGTCATGACTTTTCGAAGGCGGCGAGAGAGCCTCCCACTCAAGACTGAGTAGTCTGCTCCGGTGTCCACGAGTGCAGATGCGTCGTGGCCGTCGATGACGACGTTTAGGTTATTGGACACCACTGCAGCGGCGTCGTTTTGGTCTCTGGTAGCGTTCGAGTGGGGGCCCCCCGACGTTCGTGGAGGATCTTGGCGTCGGTCGTCTTCGGCAACTCCACCTCCAGGGGTTGCCGCGCCTAGTTTCCCCGGCGAGGAGCGAGGGGGGACAGGCTTTCACGTCGCGGTCGGTGCATCGGCGAAGCTGGACGTCGCGGTGACGGCGACCGGAACTCTCGGCGGGACGCAGGCTCGGGGGACTGAGGTCGTCGCAGGTACTCGTCGATCTCGATAGGGCGTTCACCATGACGGGGGCGCGGGTCGTTCGGGTGGAACCCGCGTAGCCCGAGTCGTCGGTACGGGCATCGGCGGTAGGTGTGGTCCGCTTCCCCGCAATGGAAGCACAGAGGGCGTCGGTCGGGCGTTCGCCACACGTCGGTTTTGCGGGGTGCGCGAGGCTCCGGGCAGGCGTACTGGACCTGGTCGTCGCGGCGTCGGTCGTGCTGCGGCGCAGGAGACTGGCGTCGGGGCGGCGTGACATAGGTGCGGAGAGGAGGCGGTGGCCGTCGGGCCACTGCGGCGTAGGTCAGGGCGGGCTCTTCGGGTGGTGCTACGCAGGCAGGAGCCTCCGGTTGAATTGCCCGCTGGACTTCTTCGCGCACCACTTCGGCGATCGACAGCTCAGCCGGCTGGTTGGCAGCAGGCAGAAGCTTGCGGAGCTCTTCCCGGACGATGTCGCGGACGATTTCCCGAAGGCCGTCGACACCGGTGGCGTTCAGGTCTAGTCGGCAAGATGCGGCGGTTCGAGGAGCAGGCACGCCGGCGAGTCGATGGTAATGGCTTGCTCGGGCCGACAGCGCTCGCTCGATGTTAGTGGCTTCAGCCACAAAACCGTCGACGGTTGTCGGGGGATGGCGGACAAGGCCCCCAAAAATTTCAGCCTTCACGCCACGCATGAGGACGCGAAGCTTCTTCTCATCGGCCGCCTCCGGATCGGCTCGGGCACATAGGCGCATGACATCCTCTACGAAGCTGGTCACGGTTTCGTTGGGGCCCTGCACCCTGGTTTGAAGAAGGTCCTCTGCTCGCTGCCGACGGTGGTGGTTGAGGAACGTTCGCTTCAACTCGGCGGCGCAGGACTCCCACGTAGTGAAGGACGCTTCGTGGTTTTCAAACCAATGCCTCGCTGTCCCTTCGAGTGCGAAGTAGAGATTGTGGAGGCATTGCTCAGTCGTCCATCCGTTGTGGCGGGCTACACGTTCATAGTGTTGCAGCCAGTCTTCAATGTCCTCGTGGACGTCTCCGTGGAACGGCGTTGGAGTCCTGGGTGCGACCGGCAGGTACACGACGGCAGAAGCGGCCGGGGTCTGCGCCTGGTTGGCCATCGTCGTCTTCGGCTTAGTCGTGGGTGGCAGAAGTCCGTGTTCCGGGGGTAGACCTCGGATGCGGCGACTTGACCGGGTCTCGATCTGGTCTTCGTCGGGTCCTCCGGAGCTTGGGTTTGGACTTGTGCTGCGGGAACTTGGCGGGCTGCGCTGTACGGACATGCGATTTACCCCGCACCTCCACCAGAATGTCACGGGTGGTGACCAATAAACAAGAAATAAACAGAAATAAATAAACGTTTAATGTGGCGAACTTGTGCCAAAAATAAAGAAGGAAACAGAAGAAAGCAGAGCGTCGCGGGCGTCGAAGTCGGCGTGTCAGCAGAGTCGAACGCTGGGGCGAAAACTGACTTGACAAGGTCGCGGGCGGCCTCTTATCTAGAGTGCGTCGCTATCTCGAAGATTCGGCGAAAGCGGCTCGAGCGTCGCGTGATCGGGCGAGAATGAACACGCACTTTCTAGAAAACAAAAGCAGGAATAAATGATAGCAGTTACGTGCGGTACATGAATAAACGAGAACTTTCTGGAGGTCCCTGACCGAGCGTTGCTTTCTCAGCCCTGGGCGCGGCAATATTTAATTCATTCGTGCTTGCTTTGCTTGTATTAGAAACAAACATCTGAAAATGAATGAGGACGAGATTACTTTAATAAGGTGTTGTGGTTCGTTTCTTCTTCCTTTCATACATTTGGAATATCATGTGTGATTCTAAGTACCCGGGGGGGAATCGGTGGCTGAGTGGGCTAAAGCGCACAACCAGCTCGACTAAAGTCCCTCTATCCTGGTAAAAGTGACGCCATTTATCGTTGTAGAAATGCACGAGGCACGTGCCACCATGATCTTCCCAAGGGCTGCACGTTGCAGGTGCCTCGTGCATCGACGAACCTTGCGCTACTTTTGAAACATGAAGCGGCTTGAAGCTCAACGCGTGTGTAGAGGAAGCTCGTGCTGCAGAACCCAAGGATCCTTGGTTTGAGCCTTACCCCTGCCTGTTTCGATCTGGATGAGCATCGTACCAGCGTGGGATCATGTATCACTACTGCGTGGGCACGTTAAAGACCCCAGGCTAGCAGTCGTACTGCACTGAAAAAATTGCTCATCTACAGTGCGAGTCAGTGTCACCTCATCCTGGCAGACCAACCTTACGTTGTGTAAACATGAACGTCAAATTTAAAAGAAAAACAAAAATGGCATGGTACCTTAAGGAGCAGGTCCTGTTCCACAGGAAAGTTGAGCCCGGACATGTCCCAGCCTGTGCAGGCCTCGAAGAAGGCAGGACAAGAAGGTAGTGCGGCACTCCTTCCTTGCACGTGAGCCAGTTCCGGGCTGGAGAAAGTCTCATAGCCGAATGGCACAACTGACTGTTGGTATGCTAAGGGACTGCCATGGGGAGCCAGTCCAAACTTTGTCTTGACTGTCTCTGTGGTAGCTGCTCGGAGGCGCTTAGCAAAGGGCGAACCTTGGGTCGAGAAAAGGTAATCTCCGAGCTGCCGGGTCAACGCCACTCTGTCGTTGACATCTACGATGTTCCTTTGAGCGTCATACAGCCTTGACGTGATGGGTGTTTCGAGCCCCTCTTCCCGAACGCTCCTCCAGTCCACTAACTGCAGGCTCGTGGAGGCGACCGCTTCTCCCCTTGGACACCGCCACTGTTGAGGCAACTCTGTGCAGGCCACTGCAGGTGGAGCCTCATCATACTTGTTCGCTCGTAGCAGAGTCAGTAGCTTCAGGACAGCTAGAGAGTGGTTGCATGCCCCAGATTTACCCGCCCACATTCACAGTTTGCGTCACGTACGTCCCCACTCTGCTGGATGTCACAGACAACCTGGTATGGCGTTGCGGTTTTCCTCTGGCTTCTAAAGCAGCTTGCCTTGATGAGCACTCCGGTGGTGGATCTGAAATAAATTTGCGTTCTTGTTTACTTATGTTTACCGCATAGATTGTACAGTGAGCAAACATACTATGTGTTCACCCACATTGTTTTTCAAATAAGTAAGAGGCATAATTTTAGCAGTGCTCACTATGTGTGAGAAAAGACGCGACATATATGCGATTGCTCGTTTAATAAACGCCGGAAGCTTTTACTACACCGAAAGTTAGGATTGGTTATCGTAACTTTTGAGCTAGCATGCTCGTGCTGATAGTGCACATAGTGCACGCTCGCGGGCACCACACACGTCAAATTGTCAACTTGAAACTTGGCAGCACAGAAAGCAATGCGATAAAAACTGGCGCCTTTGCTAAAAGAAAAAAAAAAAAAAGCTATGAGGCACGGCGTACAGAGGCGAAGTTCACCGGCACGACGCAAGAGCGATTCTGTTTACCTCTCACCCCCCGCCTCGTACTCTTTAGTCCGAACGCCACTGAGCTTCGCAAACTTATCTCAAGCTGTGAGAAAGCAACGAGCCAGAAAATACCAAATTTATTTCATATTGCAAAATAGGCCGAAGATGCGCGAGTATATTAGGCCTCTTTTGGCGTTTCCTTGTGCACGGCGCAGCGCCAGACGGCACAAGTCCGCCTGCACGTAAAACACATTCACGGCGTGATGCGCGCGCGTGTAGCTTTGGGTTGGCTCACGCTTAGGTCTGAACGGGCGACAAGAAAGAACAGTGCTTACCTCAACACTTGAACCGACGCCGGATCAACATAGGCCTCGGTGAGGAACTTGTTGCTTCGGGCAACCTGCCGGCTCGAAGCGAGTGTCAAGGCGCGGTACGCCTCTATCTTAGTTTCGTCAAAGCTACGCGGAACTGTAGTAAGGTCACTGCTCCACGGGGAGGGCAAAATCACTCGTCCCTGAGGACCGTAGTCCACGGTACCGGGAGTACTGCCACAAGCATCTGCCATCGCTCGCTCGCTCGCTCCCGAAACGACGACGCAGTAATGGCGGCGGTTTCGGTATCTCATAGTTGCTTGACTGACTTTTGTAAAGGGTCTATTCCGTGACCTGGCCTAGATCATGGTCGTATATATAGCCCTTGTCATATTAAAATTACTTGTTATGGTTTAGCTTGAAAGTGGATCCTTGAGCTTTCCAAAACTCGATTAGCTTTACCAAACGTCCTCACTGACACCAATTTTAATCAATTTCAGTTTTGCTCTTAAAGCTAAACCCTGCTGCTTTGACTTAGAGGATTAAAACTGCAGAATGATCGTATTGCATCTGTTTACGGCCAGCTGCCCTAACCTGTGAGCACGTTCAATGCCAAATGACATTACAGTCTCCCCGCTCAAGCAATGTGGTAAGGTTCTTTTAATCTTTTTCCCCCACTTGCATCGACGTTTCGTTGGCACTATCAAGAAGGCTGTAGAAAAAGGCATTATTTCTTCTTAACCTATCTCACAGATCACCGAGCCGATGGCGCAGAGCAGCATTTGTCTTTCTCTGGTCTCCGATTTCCTCTCGTAGACCATGTATTTCTTGCTTAAAAGTACTCGTCTTATTCTCGACGGACGCGAGCCTTTCCCCGAAGTTTGTAACCTTTCCTTCGATAGATTTTTGGCTTTGCTGTCTTCGTCAACAGACTTAGTCGACACTGTTTCGCCGGCCTCGAACACCTGCGATCGAGTGTTTAAAATATTTAGAAGTTGAACCATCTCTGAAAGCCGCTGAACCTGCTCCGCAGTCATGGGACCGAAATTTCTTTGAATTTCACCAGAACACAGCAACGATCTAAAAGAGGCGGCACACGCTTCAAAACAAGGCTGCAGACAAAGTGTACAGGACAGTAGCAGTAAAAAGCGGTCATCAGACCGATAACAGTAACTGTCGTTCTATACGAAACATGCCTGCAAAAAGATGAAAAGCAGCGCGTTACGCATGTTGCACGTCGCACTGGTATCATCCTGTCAACTGAATAGGCTGCTTAAGTGGCTGTCTTATATAGTCCAGGGCGGTGAAGGTGACGTCTCAAGTGGTTTTCCAGCTAACCACGACATATGGCGCCCGTACCCGGAACTGGCCACCGTGAAGTTGCAAAAACGTGCTGGAATTGACTCAATCATCGCGAAGTCCTTACATCCTCTGTTGTCTTGGCGCACTCGCTGAAATCTATCCCCAGAACCGTTGAGACGTGTTCTTCATGGCAGCGGCACACACTGCACAAAGATGAAAAACAGCACGTTACGCATGTTGCACGTCGCGCTGCTGCAGTCCTGTCCACTCCCTAGATAGATTGTTTAGTGCCTGTCAACAGCCGCGATGCCTACTCGACACTGTCATCGACATGATGGCTTGAATAGGAATCCGTATAAAAGATATTAGTTGCCAATGGGCAGAATAGAGTCGATAACATGTGACGACACTGTGGTTGGTACGGGCACACTAAGGTAAGACTGAATGTGCGCAGGCGAACTAGTGGTAGCTAATCACTGAGACGTTCCCTTCTGTGTCTGTTTCTTCGACTAAAAGTATTTTTCCTTCACTGCACCGCAGTCTCAGGTGTTAAACCACATAATACACTAAGATAAAAAAGTAAAATAAAAGTGTAAACTTGCAAACTTATCGAATTGTCACTGGACTCTTTGAATGGATATCTCTTTAAACGTTTAAAGAGATTTACAGGTTTTCCAATAGAACACTGAAGCACAGTGACTGCAACGGCTTACCACAGTCAAGGCTACTGTGCGCAACTTGGTGTAAATAAGTGATATCACGTGCAAGCCTCCTGTCGTGAAGAGACTGGAGGCTTAGGTCTGCTAAGATTGAAGTATAGCCATAAAAACGGCGACGGGCAATGTGTATATCGTATATGATACGAATAAACGTCCGCTGTACCTCTTTTGTTACATTGCTATAGGTTCGACAGAGAGAGTTCTATATTACAGTGGCAAACCTTAAACGCGGTCGGACAAGTGAACAACGAAGAGAGCAAGCACAATGAGGGATTCGGCATCGTTAGCCGTAATACTGCACCAAGACAACGCAATGCTTGATTGGCTATGTGTAACACTTTTTGGTTGTTGTCTATTTGTTATGCACCGCTACTCAATAGAACATACCTTGTTTTGTAACAAAAGGCGCTCCTGCACGTTATGAACGCTGTTGAACAATTTCAAGTCGTCGGCGTGCATTAATGCTTTTCAGCTCTGCACCTGCGACGGCAAGTCGTTAATGAACACACAAAAGTAACAACGACTGTGGGGCACACTGGATGATGATACGAACGGTCCAGACAAACAATCTGAAAAACTAACTTGATTCTGGCGGTTATCCAAGTAACTTGAAAACCATGAACAAAAAGTAAAGCATACATTTTTTTTTTTTTTTTTTTGACAAAAGGATGTTGTGTGAAACCCTTTCAAAAGACTTTGACGTATCGAAATAAATAGTGTCAACTTGACCATGGTTAACTACCAAAGGGCCTGTATATCTAAGAAAAATACTCAATTTGTCTCGATTGATCTACCTTTCTGGAAGCCATGCTGCAATGGTGATATTTTTGTTTAAAATTTAATTTGTAAGTTCAATAATGGCATTTCGGAAACTTTCGAGAAATCGCACAAAAGTGAAACAGGTCGAAAGTTTTTCACATCACAGGGATCGCCACATCTAAATATTTTTACGACAACAGATCTTTTCCACCTTTTACGACAACATACCTTTTCCGCCGCACCGCAACGACAAATTGTAGACACGAGTTAAAGCAGGAACGAGGATTTCAGCGCATCCCCTGATGAGGAAGTTGAGAATTAGTTTTTCGTGGCGTCATTGCTAGTAGTTAGTATGAAATCATAATCATTGAAAAACAGCGAGGGCCACAAACTAGTGTAAAAGGGGCGGAAGAATCAGCCGGCAGACCACATCTCATGTTTGTTAACAATATCAAGCAGTCATTCGTCCAGGGCAACTTGGAACAAATGGGACTAGTGATGGCTTGTTTTCAGTCTCATACATGTCACTGTTGTTACCCGAACGAACCCCGCGACAAGTTTCTGCACCTGAGACGGCGTGGTGCCGGGAGCAAGGAAAGATATAAAAGTCCTCATGCTGCCGGCATCTTTCGCGCGACTTGGGACAGTGACCAGACGTTCCAATTTAGGCGTTACAGGTCCAGCTTTTCCCGCCGTGGTCCCGCTCTCCCGCCAGGGGCCTCGTGAGGTGTTTTGTCCCGCCTCAGCTCCCCCGAACCGCGAAGAGATAAAAAGCGAAAGGATTGTACCAGTGAGTAAGTGCTTTCTCTGATCAACGATTAATATATGCTTGGCTGAGAAGACACCGATGCTAAAGGTTAATTTGCGTATGAAATGTGAACAGGACTATGAACTTAGTATGTACAAAAAAAAGGACAGCGACCATTCGGAAGTCTGAGAACAAAATTACAAAGAAGGCACTTAAGACAGCTTACGTGTAGGAATCCGAAAGAAATCCTACACGCGGAGCGCATTCCTACAAGCGGTGTGTCACATCTTCCTTTTTCACACGGTGATCCGGCGGTGACATCACGCTACCCCACTGCGCAGGCGCGGCGCGCCCGCCAGCTCCACGGCTTCCGTGACGATGCATCTGCGTTGCTGTGCTTTTCTTTGTGATTTATTTCTGAGGCGCGTCCGCTTTGACCTTGAGAGGCCCCGCTGGCTTCCGTGACGAGCATCTGATATGACGCGTCGCAGATAATAGAACTTTAGGTGCCGTTTCGCTGAGCCAATGGGAATTTAGGTGCCGTTTTTCGCTGCTATAGACAACGGCTACAGACAACGCCGGCTTCGCTCTATGGGAGAGTTAATGCTTTCGCATTCATAATTATAGGGTATCTAAGTAACCAGGCTCGATCCTAAATGGACCGTAAAAATCGACTCCTGCACGTAGCAATCTAAACGTTTTATCAAATGTGTACTTCACAGGTCGGTTTTATCCATTAAACTTACAAAGCCTATAGCTCCCTTTCTGTAAAAATAAGGCTAACGAACATGCCAGGGTCAACGGCGGACGGCGACGCAGACGACCGAGTCGAGTGGCGGGGCACGTTCGTAGCACGTATTTGAAGATGGCGTCGGGAGCAGCCTCAGAAGGTGTAGCCGACCAGCGAAAGAAAACAGACAACACTTAGACGAATCCGTCGGCACCCAGAGCGCCATCGTTATGCACCGGCGATTTTTTTTTTGCATTTTTTTATTATAAGTATTGGTTTTATTGTCTGCGCTTATCTTAAAACGAACCTATAACTACAAAAACTATTATGTTCATTTTAATAGACCACATTCGCCGCGAGCTCTCTCGCTGAGGAGGTAGCGCCATCTATCAATACGTGCGTCAAACGCGCCCCGTCACTCGACTCGGTCGTGTACGTCGCCGTCGCCGTTGACCCTGGCATGTTTTTCGCCCCATTTTTTGCTATCAGAGAGGGATCTATACTCTATAATTTTACAGGATAACACCGACCTGATAAATGCACCTTTGAGGAAAAGTTTAGATTGCCAAATGACAGATGCCGCTTTTTACGGCCAATTTTCGACCGACTATGATTATATCAGTTACTCAGTGGATTTGTTCTAAATACATATTCCTGCCAAATGTATTAGATGTGCATGGCAAACCCAAACAGCATGCAAATTGCAAGGAAAAGGAAAGAAAAAAGAAAAAGAGAGAAAAATAACGAAAAAATAAAGAGGTGTGATTTATTACCGAAACTTAAATTTCTCAAGTTTCATAGCACAATATTCACAGCTGATAGGCCTCTACAGCCTCTTGAGACTACAGATGGCTGACAGGAATGCCGTCACATCATCCACCACTAAATTCATTTTTCTAGAAGAGATTTCGAAAGCGAAAGTCCTTACGAAGCTCTTTAACCAGAGCATGGACGGTTCTCTTTTTTGATGCGTGCTGAAGACTTCCAGATTTTTAATAATTGGAAATGGTCGAGATTATTGCGTGCTTAGAAATCTTGTTTGTTAGCGTCTGTGAAGTGATGAAAATGCGCTCCCGGACCACGGTTCACGAAATCGATTCCTCTTAACTTTTCACATAATTTCAATCACAGTGCACATAATCATCTGCTCACCTTCTTACCTACTAACCTGAATATTGAGCAGAATCTTCCATGTATTAAAGACAACAGCAAAAAAAAGAAAGCTCTCCGTAGCTCAGGGGCGACGCCTCCGCTCCGCACAAAGCGGGCCCAGCTCCGATTTCCAGGGGCGGCGGGCGATGTTTTTTTTTAAACAATTGGCAATGTCGACGACGGACGCACGACAACGCCAAGTAAAACATCAAAAAGGACAGTCAAAACAACAACGCAGGTCATTTGGCGGGAAGAGCCCTTAACAGCTACCCTGTCAAAGACGTATTACAAATCACCAACATTTCACTTTTCTTTTTCTTCCAGGTAGAGGAAACAACGAGACGCTGCAAGTGGATTAAGAGGTTTAGACGTCTCCGTCCCGTCATCGGGGAACAGCGGCAACTCTTTATCCCAAGATGGTACGTTTTACTCGCGTCAAAATTGTTGACGCCGAAGTGAATTCGGCCGCGCTAGCAAACCTAGGTGATCGATATAATGATTTTAGGAAAAGTACCGAAAGTGGGTGAGATTTATGTACGAATAAATATACTACCCCCTGAAAGGGAGTTTAACAGGTGCCCTTTAGGCCACTGGTAGCCGCTGAAAAAATACGACTGGGCCGGGGTGCTGTTTCGAGACCTCTCCAAGACAAGCGGAGAACTCTACCAACTAAGTTAACCAGGAGCTGGCAGTTCGTAGGGCAAACGGGTGTTAGCAGTGGCCACCGGCCTCTATTGCAGCCACCGCGAGGGTGAAATGAGGCGTTAATGACTGATATAATAAGTTTATCACACAGATTTTTTTCAGCGGCTTCCAGACGCTTAAAGGTCGCGATGTTACGCTACATTTCAGGTGGAACTCATTTCATTCTTAGGTAAGCCGGAGGTATTTACATTTATTTGTGCCACCCGCGACTCATCTGCAGGCCGCTTTCTTAGTGTCGCGTGAGCTACGAGAACGTGCGAGAGCTTGTTTCGAAAAATAGTGCTTGTAGCTTCGTCTTAGCTCGCACGTAAAGTAAAACAATCTGTATTATCATTTTCAATGTTTCGGTAAATTAAAAAAAAAAAATCTTCGGCTTTCACTGAAATTTTTTAAACTTTCTAATATGCATACCGCTTATTAGGCCTCCTTGCGCTCCTCTTTTTGCAGGCATGGAGGCCACCAAAGCCAAGTCATGTGTCACGTGACTCCATGTGAAATCACAGTCACGTGACACAATATAACATCAAAATCACGTGACGTCTAGTAACGTCACTGTTACGTGACCACCAGTCGCGTGACGTTGTCAGTGAAATCATGACGTCAAACGTCATGATGCCACAGAGTCGCGTGACTTTATGGCGTCACGGAAATCAGGGTGTCTCCTGACGTCACATGACGTGACACCGTGAAAGCATCATGTCACCCGCCATCATCACCTCACGTTACATCATGACGTCACAGTTCTCGGTCACGTGATATCATGACGTCACACTGTCACGTGACGCATGTTGTATAAGATGTATAAAATTTCGGATGCCTTGCGGGAAGGTCATTTTTTTTATCACACTTATAGGATTCCTGCAACGAGGCTTGTTTTTGCTTATTAAAAATAATCAATTACCGCACTTTACTATCCGTAAATCGGAATTTTGTATGAGTGGCCCTGTGCCCACAAACGGGTGTTTTCACAGAAAAACAAGAATAAATAGATGGTATTTAAGTTGCGCCTTTACTTTGTATGGTCAGCGCGGCGAAACAGCATTGAGAAGCCTGAATATGTCCATTGTGATCGCAATATATGCACAAACGGAAACCAGTTTCAACATTGTCGTCAACGTATCGGAGGAGAAATCTAAAGCCCGCGACAAATTCTCCCCGTTAAAAGGGGTGGGACACAAAAATTAAACGGGTAGATTATTCTTCACGTGGAATCTTCGTAAGGTACTTAGTGTATACATCAAGATTCACAATTGTTAGAACTCTAGTAATTGCGATAATCAATTCAATAATGTTGATTATTTTCATCTGGCGACCAGGCAATACTGCCCAAGTTAGTCACATCATGCTACCCATAAACCACGTGATCGTGAGTGTACACCTGAACGCCCTCACATTCTACGGACCCCCATGCTGGCCCAAGTTTGCCTTCTCATGGTACGACTGCTCCTAGATCTCACACTTCTCGGCTACCACAACACTATAATGTTGGCTCACCCCATGCTCCCTTGATCTTCCAACCAGCACGCACGTACGGGGTCGTCACTGATAACGGCGAGTTTCTTTTTGGTATGCTCTCGTCGTCGCTGGAGCTGGTCGCCAGCGGGTCGAAGTCAAAATGACCAGCTTCGTAAATCTCTTGATGACAATCACTCTCATCGCTTTCGCGACCAGTTTCGAAGACACGGACGAAGCGAGTGACGCCGTACACGTCGTCTGTAAACCGCGTGCTCGAAACGCGGACTGTGAACGAGGACACTGAAACGAGAGACATCGAGAGAGTCTTGTTTTGGAGTGCATAAAAGGGGACACCATGTATTTGGTGAATTGCGTCACATATTCACCAATCTTGGCGGCCTTCCCGAATGGGGTGCCTCCGGGGGTCCTGCAAAAAAAATCGATTTATCCACAAAACTATCGCCTTAGTTACAAAACAAATTTAGCGAAAGTAGAGAAGCATAGTGTAGGTCCTAACTGTCTCGTTATTTTATATATTTTATTGGCGTGTCCTAACCCTTTTAAGGTCCATACGTGAACCAAACAAAACACAAATTAAGAGTACAATTGTATAAGGCGCACCGACTGAAACCTTGTCGAAAAACCGCGACTTATACACCGGAAAGTATAATATAACATATATAGTATAACTTCCAATTCATGACGCTCAGTTGTGTCCTTCGTCTGAACTCCCCTAGTAACGGCCTCTTCTTTCTAGTGCTCTTGCGTTCTTTCTGGTACCTCTATCAAAAGGGCAGCAAGCCCTCCCTGAATGTCCAAGGGTTGTTTGACTGGTTGAACTTCACTTTACGCCACCTCTGCCTAAATTTATATAAAACCACTTATAGCAATAAAGGTTTTCACAAGAGCCAGGTGGCATAACAACTATTTAAATTTAATATTTAATATGGAATGAATATTTTCACGTGTCATTCACGTTGTGTTCTCGATTGGAAGGATGTACCGGATGCTTCTATTTTTTTGTAATATTCCGCACAATTGTTTTAAGTAAACATTCAATCGCAATGCTTTGTTGCATTTTTATTTACAGATTATTGCTTTACTAATTATTTCCTTGCATTACCTTTTTTTTCTTTCTCCGATGTTGTTTTGTTAAGCAGTGTAAACAAGGAGCAGGGCCTCATCAGGCAGAGCAAATCTGCCGTTTGCCTCGTTACCCTAAATTTTGTGGCTGAATAAAAAAATAAAATAAAAAAATAAACAACATACATGGCTTGCACGTGATGTCACCGAAAAATACCAGTGGTGATTCCTGCTCATGATGTTCGCTGAGCAGCAAGGCCCTTCAGAATGCCCGCTGTTGTGGGGGTCAGCGCGAGCCATGTGTCGACTATACTCTCTTTACAAACAAGTTCGCGTTTACCCAAACCAGGTGTGGCACTGCTCGTGCGCACCAATTGTATTCGATTGAGGTTAAACGTCCGCGCATGCGCCGGTACCGACAGCAGCACTACCGGAGCAGATTGACATCACAATCGCTCCTTGGCGTGTGGACTGGGACGTAAATATAGACCTTTTCATTTTAGTAGTTGCCTCTCCGGCGGATAGAGGGCACTGATGCAGTAGGCGCCATTAGGTTGCTTCAATTTCGTTGGTTTCGGTTTTAACGTGAACGCGGCTATGTTGCTGTTTTACGTTCTTTTTGGGTAATTTTGTTACACAATTATTTTCCTTGTAGCACGAAACCAATAAAACAGAGGTATTGAGCCACTTTGAGGACGACGAGGTGTATTTGAGCCTAGATCGCGGGCTTTCTCTTTACCAACTCTTTTGGTGTATCTGATTATGGTCGGTTGCGAAACGCCTGACTGATGTACAGGGAAGATTACCATCGTCTACGGCCGTGCGCGATGACCACCAGTTTCCAGAAAAACAAACAAGTGAAGAGACTAACACGTGAATACAAAGAAGCATATCGACAGTTTGATTAGATATCTGCTGAATCAGCCAGAACAGATGAACTCGCGAGTTTACTACTCACTGTTTAGTTTTTGTGGCCACCCAACTTTTAGTGAACTTTTCAAACTAAAAACGTATCGTGTAATGGGGTGAGCAGGAATTTTTTTTATATTATCAACCCTGCTAAAAAAGTACTCATAAGCAGCATTTCGCGATATTGATCCTTGGAAATAAATTGTTTTTATATGAACATTTGCTTACTCAAGATATAAGTGACAGACTCGATCGTCAAATTAAGTCTGACATTTGTCTTCCGTAAAATTGGCCAAATAAAATTAAAGGCTGCAGGAGAAGGTGATGATGATGTAAACTTTTATTTAAATATGGAAATATCCGAAGATGGGTAAGGCCCTTAGTCCAGGGCTCCAGTGCTGGCCGCTGCTGACTTGGCCCGCTCAACCAGACTACACTCATCAGGAGGAGAAACACCTCGGAAAGTTTGGCTGAATTCAAGCGCTAGGCAACACTTCACAGACCTGTGTGAACAAATATTTCTTTGTTTGAACAGATTCCCTTTGTAAAGTTCGGTGTTACCAGCCACCACAAGTAAAGCTCTATTCGCCATCGACAATCCTGGACTCAAGTAATTGTTATGCAAACGGCTTCTTTTCTTTTCTTTTTTTTTTTTCGTTAAATATTGCGGACTTTAGATACTGGCAAAAATTAAAACAGCGTACGCAGAAAAAAAGGTGTCGTCCTTATTGCGCATATCCCGAATCCAAACCGCGTTTTGGATTAGCAAATAGAAACGATGTTATTTTTTTTTTTTTGCACGCTATTCCAAAACTCGCTATTGTTGTCGGGACAGTTTCTTGCGCGGTAAGTCCCAACTGGTTATCCAAATATAATCAATAAATCACTGTCGAAATGGGAGCGAGCACGGTATACATTTTCTTAAACTTGATAAGTAAACCGACCAACCGAACAACTACGTCGCAAAAAAAAAATAAGATTGAGAACCTCATACACCTATGTAGGTGTACTATTATGAACAAACAAATCGCCTGATGTTGACGTAGCAGTACTTCGAGCCCCAGATAAAATGCAAGTTAAACGTTTGTTGTCTATCTCCTCCGCGAGTGTGCTCAGATAATCAAAAGAAACATATTTCGATATATTATAAATACAAAGAACGATACTTTCAGGAAATGCAGATAGTCTCCGTGCGCTGACTATTCTTGACGCCTTCCGATCCTAAATGCACGATATAAATATGCGCGCTTCTTTTTGAGAATGTTCCACCACTTTTAGTAAACAAACCTCAGTTGTCATAAGGACCTTTGAACCCGTGATGTCTTGGTCGTCGAGTAGACGAATCGGGCTACAGTTTCCGAAGTAAGGCAAGAAAGCGCGGTGAAACGCGACGAAAAGCACGAATACAACGCATCCGCCAAGGCGCGGAGGGGAGAACGGAGCAGCAACTTGAAGCAACCTAATGGCTGCCGCGTCACGTGATTCCAAGATGGCAGCGCCCATGCGGAGGAGGATGAAAAGGTCTATACACTTTGGACTCGTTTCAGATGGCGCCATATCACGCTGCTTTGGCCAGAGGGTCCGAAAGAGACGATCTCGCTTTCTTGATGGAGGCAAGACACACGGGCGTGGAGTTCCTGATGGAGAATGGCACCGACCCGCCCCAGACCTTCAGGGCTCACAAAACGCTTCTTGCCATGCGGAACGAGGTCTTCGAAGCCATGTTTTACGGAACTCAGTCTGAAAAGCTCCAGTATAGCATCAGCAACCTACGGGCAGATGGATTCTTTACTCTCCTAAGGTAAGAACAATATCATATTAAGAGTGAAACAATATTGCCTTAGGCCACGCCAACAGTGCTACAACGACTCAGTTTGGAATCTTCGAGGAGTGGCTCCAACACGTACTTCAGAACCGAACTATATTAGAATGCCTGAACGTTGCTCGTTGGCTGCGCCTTTCTAGAGTGGCGACAGCCTTTGGATGGACAAGTGCCACCTTTTCCTGACTGCAGCCTCACTTTTGCCTCATGTCTCCTGACTGGCACCTACCAGAAACGCACACTTGACAGGATGCCATGACCTTGCGGGTTCTTACAGTTACGCAGCGCCATTTCACAAATGGTGATGCTCAATAACTGCGTAAACAACTCAAACAGCTGCATATAAAGGAGGGCAAGATGGCGGCTCCGCTAGCAGAGGACAGAGTTGTCCCTAATCTGGGTTGGCTGCCAGCCCAGAAACATTGAGGCAAGCCTAGACTAACTGCATAGGATCTGCTTGCAGAGCCACAGTGTCGCGTTCCTTTTCCTTTCGTCGCCAATTCCGAATTGGCAAAGAGGCGGCCACGTCCGCCGAGCTGTATCCAACCTACATGCGGGAATGCGAGCTTTCAGGCGCCCAGTTCCGGGCGGAGCATTTTTCTTGCTTTGTGTTCGCGAAATATACATTCTACACTAAAATCGAACGAACTGGAAGGTTCCTTGACCATTGAACAGTATGTGTAGCCACTGGGTACAGTAATTTCGTTGCTTTATAACGTCCACGATGTTTCAAAGCAGAACTTCTGGAGTCTGGGAGGCAGACAACGCGGCAGACGATCGCGTTGCTTGCGTCTGCTGCTCTCGCGAATTGATATGCAACCGGCACATCCGGGCGCCTCGGACGAGAAAACAGCGCGCAGCTATAGCTTGCAAAACGGAGACGTTTTCGTCAGCTACTGCGTTCTAGAGAAGCCATAAAGGAAAATAAGAGACAAATGACGGGACGGCCAAGCACGCGTGGCGTATCGCCGCACTATACCTTCTCTGCTGCGCACGCCGCCTGACAGCCACACCATCAGCGGCCCAGGGCTCCCGCAGAAGCTGCGGTCACTTCCCGCAGTGCGGCTTGGATCCGACATGGCCGTCCTGGTAACGCCATTGCGATATTGTTCTCCGCATGCGGAACATACACAGTCATACCTCGGCAAACTTCACTTATGAGTGCACTCACTCTCCCTAATTACCCTCACCGATCAGGCGTGAGGTGAGGGTGAGTGAGTTTGTGAGCCTCAAAAAGCCTCGAGATTAAGGTTGAGTGAGTGGCGTGAGGTCGGTGAGTTCATGGGTTAGGTGAGGTCGTGAGCTTGGTGAGGGCGTGAGTTAATGCGTTCAGTGAGTTTAGTTAGTTCGGTGACGGGCGTGAGTCCATGAGGTCGGTGAATTCACGAGTTTCATGAGACATCACTCCCCTGGGGGTATATAGGTTCGATTAGGGTTTAAGGGTTGACTTCGAGGAATGGCGGCTCATCTGACTTCTCCGTACATCTCTGGAGAAGTTGAGTCGACGCTCGCTTCACAATGGTGCTGTTAGTTCGTACGGCTCAGTACGACTGGCGCCTGAGTACAGCAAGACGGCAGCAACCATGGCGGGGTTGCAAAATCCACGCAAGCCGCGTACAACACGAGCGCCAGCACCGCGACAACCCTGAGGGCGAGAACTATAGTTCTGAGCGAGTGAGGTCCGCCAGTGAGTGAGTTCATGAGTTCGATGAGGGGCGTGAGTGTGCGAGTTGGGTGAGTTCATAAGTTTGGTGAGGGGCGTGACTTTGCAAGTGCGGTAAGTTCATGAATTCATGAGTGGGGACTTGAAGGTTAGTGCGGCCGTAAGGGGGAAAGCGAGTGAGTTTCAACCTTCTATTTTGATTTGGCCGTGAGTGAGTTCAACCAAAAATGTCGACCTCTGCAAACAGGTTTTTCAGGCACTCTAAACCTTGCCCGCCACCTCTCGGCCGAGGAGTGAACTAGTTCGGTTGGATGAGAACTGGTGCGGGGACCTAACTAATGATGATGATGATGTTTGTAGCTGTCCCGTTTAGATCGAGGGTCACGTACTAAGCGTGTCCAAGCCATTGGGCGTACTTAAGTAACCCTTAGTGTCTACATTATTCTTTCTCCTTCCACCAACTTTGCCAGTCGTTGTTTGGTTTTACCGACTAGCCGTCTTTCCGTGGTGCCTGCTCTGAGGTCGGCCAATCCTTGAAACCTCAGCAATTCTGTTAGTGATGATGCTGGTGCAGCCTGTGAATCTGAAGTGGACATAGCTCTATGCAGGAAATTCGCCGGTGGCGCCGCCTGCATTCGACCACCCTACCTGGCCGCTCGGTCTGCTTGTTGGTCATCCACCTCCAATTTCAGTGTCAGGACCTAACAGCGAAGGACCAAGTGATCTATGATTTCGGCTTCCTGGTCGCAGACCCTACACTGTACGGTCACTATCGTCGGGTCGAACCGCCGCCGATACAATAGCGTCCTCAGCGCTCCTGCTCGAGCTTCAAAGAAGAGGCAACTTCCCAGACTGTTTTTGTAGAAGTCCTCGGCTCAAATATTATGCTTGTGGGTCCTGTATACTTCTATCGTCAACTTCTTGCTTGCCACTTCCATCCGGTGTGCCGGCTGCTCTTCTTTTATCCGTCGTCGTTCCTCTTTGGCCCATTTGCCTTCAGACACTTTTTGAACCAGGGTGGTGAAAAAAAAAATCTTCTTACGAAGTTGGCACACGCACTTCATCCACCGAGTCTGGAAGCACCTGAGACTTCTATAGCCGAGTAGCCGTCTGGCCCATCGACTTTTCTTCATCTGTTTAAGCCTTCCTCGATAAAACTGCTTGCTCGATACCTCCTTTGCCTCGAATGTCGACCATCCAACATCTCCCTGGATTACCCCGACCGCCAACTTTCTGTGGGAGCTGAGCGCCTGGCAACCGGCATCCCTCTGCATGCGTCCTAACCAGGCTCGTGTGTCGGTTGAGACACAACTGATGTCATTGGCGAACGTATTGCAGACACCAGCACAGCTACCCATAGCTCATTTACCATGAGGTATCTATCTCTGTTCCACATTATTCGCCGACGTAAGTTTTTTTGTCCTCTCCGTGCTGCCTACCGAATATGTGCTTCATATTTGTCGCAGTAGTTGGTTCCGTTTGTCAATGTCACTCCAATATATCTATACTGATCACTCACCTTAGCGGCTTCCTGGTGTAGCTTCAACACATTGTTCCCGGTGTGGTCCCCAGAAAACTACGCTACTGCTGATTTCAAAACATTGAATTTAATGCCCACCACCGCCACTTCCTTCTCATAAATATCTGTCAAGTTCTGTAACGTGTCCATGTCCCTCGCCATGAGGACTAGGTCTTCAGCATATGCGAGGCCGGGCGAGGTCCATTCTGTCGCACAACCATCCTCTACGCGTGGAAGTGAAAAGTCAAGACCCGAAGAAACCCGGTGACAGTTGTTACACTGAGGGAACGGTAGTCATGAAACCGCTTTTTGCTGCCTCCACGTCCCTTCACCAGGGCAAATCTAATGCGCAGCCAATTGTATGGAATGGGGCTTTCCTCATGATGTCCTTGAAGATGCTGGCCGGCTGTGTTTTAGTGTCTTCGCCCATGCTCTTCATCAAGTCCTCAGGTATGCCGTTTTTTCCCCGTGGTGTGCTTCGCGGTATATGCGCGATGGCAGTTGTACCGCTAAATCTTCACAACCTCTCTCTTCGCCACTGTTTATTGCACTGTGAATTATGGCACTTCACTCTTGGCAAGGTCAGCGTTCGTCATTGATGGGACACGTGGCATCGCTGTCCCTGAAGTATGAGCGTCTTTCGACTCGAAACACTTTGCCAGATTCTTTTTTTTTTCATATTTAAGTGAAGTTTTAAAAAGGAGCTTTTGAAAACTTATCTTCAGTTAATAAATTTCCAAGTCTTATTGCGCAGGCATTTTGGCTGCAACAGCCATGAAGACCTGCGTTTTCCTTGCTCGTTCCCTTGGCAACTGTACTTGCTCTAGACGGCAGTACGAGCTGTAACATATGAGGATAGAGCTCCGCTATGTACTTTTATAGGTACCTCCACGCGTGTCCAGAGAATGGCGGTGACCTGCCATAAAAAACGCTCACACCCCCGCCTGGACAACAGTCGCATCACTAGCAAACCGCCCCTGGAAGGTATTCTTAAGCAGTGCATACAGCGTTTAACTGGAACTTAAATCCGCGGTCGCACTGCTTATAGATCAGACAGAAGACATGGTGTTTCGCTGCAGACATGACAGGATTATCAGTGGACATGCCTCCTTAAACACGTTCGAAGCATGTTTGCTTAATGTTTGTGTACAGACAGTTTTTTTTTTTTTTTTATCTGGCAGCAGCGTCCAACACGGAAGAAACATGCTTCAGCCAGTGCATGCATGACTGTCGATGTGCAGTGTTACTACGTCTTTACCCCTGTAGTCTCCGAGCAAGGAGCTTGCGTTTTTGGACCCCTATATATCTACACTATGCGTCTCAAGGTGAAATATATTAGAGCAACGCCGGCTTTTCATCGGTATTTGCGGCGAGAAGTTCGGGTATCGCCGCGCCTGGTGGACTTTGTTCACAAACCAAAGTAAGGATACCTCGGTGAATCCCGGAGTAAAGCACATCGGAGAAAAGCGCCGTTTGGATGGTTTTGAAGGTGTGTCGCACGCCAGGGTGTATGTTCCTATAGAGTAGCGTTTTACTTTACTATGACGACTTTGATTCTAACCCATCAAACTCGTTTCGAGCCCGCGAGTGCCGCATTTGCGGGCCCGAAACGAGTTTGATTTCTTACGTTTGAAGCAACGGGAGAGTGAGGAAATACGAAAGTTGACACCAAAAGAAGAGAATGAAAACGTCTCAAGCAGAGCTAAAATTTATTGCGGACAGAACCCTTTATGTAAGATTTGAACAGAAAAGAAGCTTCCCCTCTTACACCACACTCTTAGAAAAAAGGGTATCATAGTCCTCCATAAGGCGAGGAACGGTTTTGTAACCTATGTTCCTTTAGAAAGAGAGAAACTTCCATCCCTGAAGCGGAGGAGCAAAGGTCTTCCTTCACCTTCGTCTCATTATGACGGCCCCGAATCGAGAAAATCGAGCTCAATAAGGCTTAACAAGGACGCTACGTCTCTTGTACGGGACGAGAGGAGCAGCAAAAAAACGCGTAACACGAGCTTTCCGCTAACTGTATTTATTTCCGGAGCCAGGTTCCCCCCGCAGGTAAAGAAACTTGCGTTTCAAAAGCAGTTACTCAGTCTTCTCGTCGTCAGCACTGCGATGTTAAACGGAGACAACCGATACCCAGTTACTTCCCGTATTTTACGTCTTACCTCTGCTATTCCTCGAGTCACAATTCCTTCGTCAACCCCACATCACGGAGGAATGGCAAAGCAATCCGCGAAACCAAAAGCCGCTCTCAAAAGAACAAGCTCGAAGCCGCTGTTTATCGCGTAGCGTGAAAGAATGTTAAATCGCTTGCCGCCAGACTGCAGGGTGAAGCAGAGTAATTGCAAGTAGCTAGGCTAGGTAGCGCTAGGTACCGCCCAAGTCATGTTCTACAAAAAGTATTTTTGTTCCTCGGGTCACCACTACGCGTCGGGTTCTGCGACATGTGCTATACACACATGTAGACATATCACGCATGTGTGTCTACACATCACGCATATGTTAAAAAAGGAACGGGTATTTCACAGGTCATTAGGGAGTTTTAGAATAGCTCACGCTAAAGCTTTGCGCACGCAAAGAATAGCGTCGTCGCCACTGCGCATGCTCCGAAAGCAAACCAGGTTTTGCGCTTTGCGTGCGGAATTTTAGCGTGCGCTATTTCTCGGAAATAGCCTGCGTACGCAAAGAGCCTTTGCGCGCTTTGCGCTTCTCCAAGGAGGATTCATGACGAGAAGTTGGCTAAAGCCAAGACGAGCGGAGTTAAGCAAAAATGGCGGCTTCCAGGATTATGTCGGCGGCTGCTTTGGCGGCGTCGTGAGTGCAACATCGGCGGCATCCTCGCGACTGCGATTTTCAATACGAGACAAAATTGTACTCGGTTCAGCAACGATCACCGGCAACATGATGCTTGCCACGCGCGAACACTTCTTGGCGAAGGTACGATGTGCGAAGGTCAGTACACAAGACCTCTCTTGCCAAGGCGACGCAAGCGGGCACGACCGGTCAACCGCTCGCGTCGCATTCTCGTGTTTAAACAGATCTAAAATGGTACTTTGGACCAAAAAACTTGTTTCTTTCTAAAGTTACAGCATTTCGTGTGTGAAATAAAAGTTGGGACTGTATCTTGACGGCGTCGCAAGCGCGAGATCCTTGGGCTTTTGCGTCGCGACGCGACGCAGAAACGCTATTCTAAAACTCTCTTGCGTCGCGGGCGCTAATACAAGCGCTATATTTAGCGCTAGCGTGCGCTAGAATTGCGTACGTTATTCTAAAACTCCCTATTAGCGTCAGGGATCCGTTCTAAGCGGTATTTGCGCAAAATACGAAAATCGTTGCATCGCCCCTGTAAACCTTTGCTTTTTACCTTTGCTCCGCTATAGACCCTTTCAGAAATTCAGTGCCATCTGGTGGTTCGTAAAGCAGTTTAGGTTTTGCCCTATCAATGGCGGAAATGAACTTGTATCGGCACCGTCACTTTCGCAAGTCGACGGCACGCGAGGAATTGTTCAGTGTGAGTTCTTTCTCGATCACTTTCAGGTCGATGGTGACCAAGAACGTGCATTCAGAACAAAGCTCCAACCCACTGAGATGCCTCGAGAAAATTCTATACACCAAAGTGCTTTAAAGCCGATTGTGTGCCGCCCACAGATTGACTGAATCTGAGCTATTAGAAATAAACGCTTACGTAGCTCTTGTGTTCCAGCCCTACTTCGCTTCGTACTGACCCCCGAACGTACAGGCCTCGCAATATCCGCTTAGGAGCATCTTCAACGTCTTCCTTTATCAGTCACTAGAAGGCCGCCATTCGTATGGCACAGATGCCGTTCCGCAGATGATGATAGTGATCAAAGTGGCCAGACTGAACTTCGGGAAGGGTCTATTGGCGACGTGCGCGATCGAAAGCGTCGCGGTGGTTGGCCTTCCACGATTGGCCGAATGCTGACTATGACGTCAGCAAAGGAGTTCTCATGGACGTAAATAAGAGGAACGTGAGGACTTCAATTTTGACGGTGTTGACAGTGTTGGTTCAAGAACGCTATGATTTCAAGCTTCAGCTAATTACAAACACCATCGAACTTGTTGTTCGCAAGGTAATGACGTCACGAAAGGTAACCATACGAGGGCGCCATGGAAACATCTCGCCGCTAATAGGCCAAAGTCTCCCAATATACGGCTCTGCAACGCCGGTAAAAGGAACACGATGGCGCGCGCTCGGTCGATTTCGATCCTCTGAGCGCTGATGAACATGGCGCCGCCTAAAGGCTGAACTCCATGGGACCAATATGCTGCGAATAAACGACGAATTTTTCCCGGCGGCTTTTGCTCTGCGCGTGGAATGAACACAGTGGCTGCTACGTCGCGCGCAAAGCGAGCGTGCCGTCGGGCGGCATTCGACAGTTATTCGTCACATAATTCGTTCCATGGAGTTCAGCCTTAAAGCATATACATCGTCGGCGGCCGCAGAACTTTCCGGAACACTCCGCGGCGTTCAGTTGGATATTCATGCTTACGCATCCACAACTCATAAAAAGTGCTTAAATGTCCTTTTCTCATTTTTTTCTTTTTTTTTTTTTGCGGAAACGGTTGTCCAAAATTGATGTTTAAAGGCTGGCTCAAACAGCACCTCTTTCTTAAGTTACGTTAATGTTGGCGAAACATTCGTGTCTTGGATGTCGCGCGCAAGGCAATCTCTTTAATCTGGTAGACTCAAAAAATATATATGGTGTGTGTATGTTTATACAGCCTGAAGTTAGTCTGCGTTAGTGAGCGTGTGGTGTCTCAGCTGTAGATGAGCAATTTCGCCAGTGGGGTACAACCGCTGACTTGGGGTCTTTAGCGTGCATCACGCAGTAGTAATACACGACTGCACTCCGGCACGATGTTCATCCAGATCAAAACGGGCAAGGTGAAGGATTGAACCAAGGTTCCCTGGGTTATGCAGCGTGGCAGCCACACTTGATATGAAACACAGATGTCCCGGTGACTTGTGGCGTAAGCATGCCGTTAGCTCTCATAAGACAACGTAACGTAAGAAAAAGAGGTCTGTGTGAATCAGCCCGAACGTAAGCACCAACAATAAGGAGTATTCACTGGGCGCCACATTTGTGGGTGCTGTCTAAAGCGCATGCTCAGAACGAGCCCACGTTAATAGGCTGCTAAGACCGGCAATCTTGAGGGTGCGGAATGCACGTGACAAAGAACTGTGGAAGCTCGCCATCAGCACGCGCTCAGCAGTTGCGCACACAGCTATGGCCGCCGGTGAATACTTCCTATACAATCACTTACCACCGCATGCGATTGGCATTCAACGTTCCATTGGTTCCGCTGCGTCTGCCCATAGGGGGCGCTGATATCGTAATGAATGCTACCGAGTGGACGGCACCAAAATGGTGCCTAGCATTTTAGAAAGCCTGCAAACTCATTTTGATATAGTAACGTTGAAAGTAACTGAAAATATTTGTTTTCGAAGGCTGCATTTGCTAGGAGTTTGTCAACTGATTGATCTAAAAACGTTGTCAGGAACAGCAGTAGATGTGCCGTCAATTCGTTCTCTTAAATTTCTTCGTAAGAAAAAATAGTGTTTGTGCATGATAGAGTAAAAGTCACTATAAGAAAGTATGTCGCTTCCTTCAATGGCTTTGTTTGTAAGCAATCTCTAGTGCTTCGGAAAAGGATTCCAAATAAAATATTGAAACGTCGTTATAAGAATTAGTCCTAGATAATTTCGCTTCAATTACGTGGGTCACTTTGCTTTCTCTCCAGGTACCTCTACACCGAGGTCGCCAGCTTAATCAACATTCCGCAAGCGCTGCACACACGAACGGCTGCTGAAACGTTCCGGGTGTCGAGGCTCGTGGAAGTCTGCGACGCGTTCCTCGCAACGTCAATGCAGCCAGCCGACGTCTGCTACGTCTTGGATTACACGACAGCAAAGCGAAGCACCAAGACCTTGGACGGTCTCATCGACAAGCATCTGAAAGAGAACGCTGGGCAGGTTATAAAGTGCAAGGAGTTCATCGCGGCATCGCAGGAAACCGTACTGAGAATACTGAAGAACCCCTGCGTGAGGATCAGAGAATACGACATCATCGAGGCTGTTTACTCTTGGGCGACGGTGCACTGCGCCCAAGCGAGCGACGAGACTCCCATCAACGCACTGCGAAGGACCATGAGGCCGTTCCTGCCGGAGCTTCGGTTGCTCTCATTGACTCCTCTGGAATTCGTGGAGGGCCCGTCTTGCTGGCAGATCCTGACCAAGCGCGACACCCTGGATGTTCTCAGCAACATCATTAAACCTGGATCGGAAAGGTTGCCCGAAGACATTTGCGCGAACAGAGAACAGCGAACGAACTCTCACAGCTCCTCTGCACAGCCGGCCATAGAAGCGCCGCGCGTCTTCAATTTCGGCGGATCTCCATGTTTTTAATGACTGCTTTTAGAGGCGCATGGCGTGGCGAGTCCAGATATTTTTCTTATCGCCGACAATGAGATTTCGTCGTTAGTCGATAAGAACGCCGATGAACCGACCACGAAGCACATTAAGAAGGCCACAGCCCGCTCTTTATAAAGTTTCCACTGAATAGCACCGTTTCTTCGAATGTATTTCTTCATGAACGGTATTCTTCATTGAAGGTCTTGCACCGGTCATACAAACACCGTCTCCATACGTGTTCGAAGTATACGTGTGTGTGAAACAAGCGTGCTTGGAACGCGCGTGAGGCGTTCCCTTAAATAATTCTGTCGCACATGTCAACAGTGAACGTCCTGCCTTTTGTAGGGTGTACGAGGTCTGTGGTTGTGGCTGAAAGCCGCACTCACATTGCTATAATGCGCAGATTTGTGCCTGTTTCAAGTGATACTGTATTCCAATTACGTTTGGAAGTAATTTTTGTGTCCTGGAAATACATATGATCGTGAATATTGGCTACTGTACCTTAATTACATTTTCCGGTATCTCGTACTCCATGTTTCAAATAAATTTTCGATCTTAAAAAAAAATTGTCTCGGGTCTCAATTCTCACACCCTTAGCGAAGAGTTGAACTGATCGCAAACTTGATGCGGGAGCGACCGAACGAAGAACAGCAAACGAGCCAGGACCTAATATGCAGACTCAAAATGCTAACAAAACTACCAATGAAAATATATAAAAATTGACGTAAAAAAACTACACTTTTTTTTCTTCTTTTTTTTAGGTTTGACTCTGCTACGGTAAGAACCGCGATGGCCCGAATTTTTCATAAACATAGGGATTGCAACGACACTGGAAACAAGATACGAGCAGGATGAGCTTTCAAATAATAATTATTTTATTTTAGTAGGGTACGTTGTTGGGCTAGTTGGTTCATCTTTGTTAAACATATAAAATTGCGCAAAAAAGACAAGGAGAAGAAGGTAACACGAGAGGCGGTCGCTCAAGAGCTATTGGAAACATTCTTTATAAAAAAAAATGGGACGGCATGTGTCAGTGATAATTCTATTGTACTTCATTGTAATGAGTTTCAGTTTTTGAATGATCATGCACAAAATTAGTCAACTTTTAAGTGGTGCTGCTTTGCCTGTCGTGTATATGTATATATACTTGCTTTTTCTGAGTAAAAACTACCTAGATTAAAGTTAGCGCTCGTCCTGTATACTTCTTGTCCTTGTCTTTTTTTGCGCTATTTTATATGTTTAAAAAATAATTTTATTGTAGAGTTGTTGTACATATGTGTTTACGGGCCCGTCAAAGCCTATGGTGGCTTGTGAGATGGAGCTCTGCAAGTCGCCAAATGCAAGCAGCACAAAAGATTTGGAAGTATAATCAACAAGAAGTACTATACCCAGACAAACTCAACTGCTCTCAAGACTGATTCAAATCCTGCCTACCCCCCCCCCCCCCTCCCCAAAAAAAATAATAATAATAATAATAAAAACTTTTATCCTGCGTTAGACATATATGCGTGGAGGAATTTTTTCACTTCCGTCTGGGAATCCAGAGAAAATACGCGATTGGATAGCTGATTGAAGGTGTCGGGAATGTAGTAGCCTCGCGTTTTCATTCCGTACGTCTTGAAACAACGTGGTTTCTCAAATTTGATCGACTGCCTAAGAATACGATATGGTACATGTGGAATCTTGTAGTTGTTCGTCCAAAATACCGAAGAATTACTGTTTCTTGGTACAACGAACAAACATTTTGCATCTCTAGATCGGTGAAAAGATTCGTTCTGTTTAAGTAACTTGAAGTGTACGCCACATTTTTTTAAAACACTTTTCAAAACACTGTTTACCTTCTTCTGCCAGAGCCTTGCGCTGTGCGCGAACACTGTCACACGGTACCTCAGCACACCGTACCCCAAAGCATAAACGCGGATTTCTCTAACATGGAAAGGAACAGAACTTTTAATATTGTATAACAGTCAAGCCACATTCCGCAAGACACGACACATGCAGGCTAACTGCTTGTTCGAGGACATGTCGCATTCAAACGTAACACCCATGTACTTCGTGCTGCCTACCCATTGAACAGGAACACCACCTTCCAGGCACGCTATTCCACCCACGTAAATAGAATGATTCATCTTTGAAACCATGTTTTACCGAATTACGGTGACAGATCAACTAAGGCTGTACTGGATTGAGTTTTAAAAGATTGGAGGCGTACAAGTTCACTACTCTATACAGGAATTTGTTTGCAAATTATTGCAGGCACTGTAGAAATTCCCATGCCGGGAAATCAGCAAAGTGTCGTCGGCATATTGATAACATTTACAACTTGAAATGACAGAGACAAGGTCGTTGACATAAATATGAAACAGCAGCGGAGATAACACAGAGCCTTGCGGAACCCCCGGCTCGTAGATAATAAACGGAGCTTGTTTCACGCCCACTCGAACTCGTTGCGATCGACTGACGATATGGACGGATCTGTCTTAATATCACAGGAAAGAATTCTAGTTACTATCGATGTGAGCTCTTTGTACACTAACATCCCACATAACGAGGGACTGGCAGCCGTGGAAGAATTCCTCTCTCTCTACCCTTCGTCTCTCGCAGACAGTAGCTGTATTCTCCGCTTACTGGAATTAATTTTACACTGCAAAAACTTTATGTTTGATTAGTATCATTGTTTACAAATTCAAGGCGCGGCCATAGGGCCGAGAATGTCGCCAAATTACGCTAATATTTTTATGGGCAAGTTTGAGGAGACCTTTGTGTGGAGTTACGCCAACATTCCCGCCATATATCTTTGTTATATTGAAGATATATTTATCATTTACAATAACACTGAAGATGCACTCTTCTCTTTTCAAAGTTACCTCAATGGTTGTCACCGTACAATTAAATTTACCCGCAGTTACTCAGCAAACCCTATGAACTTTGTCGCCGTTAAGTTTAAAAAGATGGGAAGCCATTTAGTATCCGAGTTGTACAGAAAGGCTATGACAAACGTCAACGTCAGGTTCTACGCTATGATAACTACCTCCGAAAATGTAAAACAAAAATACCTTTTAGCCAATTCCCTTGGTTGCGTAGAATTTGTTCTGAATGATCGAAATTTTAAGGAAAACGTAAAATCTTTAAAGAACACATTATTCCGAAGAAAATATCCCGCATCTATTATTGACGACGCCACAAGAAAGGCTTCCGCTCTGGAACGTAGCACACTCCTTCAATCCACACGACAGCTTGACTCTAACGAAACAATAGGGTGCCATTGGTAACAAAACTACTATTCGAACCTATCAAGCCTGAATTCTGTATTGAAACGCCATTTAAACATCCTACATGCTGACGATAAACTAAAAAAATTTTTTTTCCAGAATCACCATTTGTCACATACCGGAAGCATCGGAATTTTGGGAGGATGTTATGTCCCTCGTATATAAAAAAACCCAGTTCATGCGGCGCTTGTGGTCCTTGGACCTTGCCACAACACTAGTTGCCAACTTTGCGTGTTTATTTTGGTCGCTGATAAAATATCGAGCTACGGATCAGGTTTCTACGTAAATATTAAGCAGCATACCGACTGCAAAACACCTGATGTGATATATATTATTAACGGCACGCTGTGTAACAAGCAATACGTGGGAGAAACTAAACATTCTATGAAAGCGCGATTTAATGGCCATAAGTCTGACATTGTAAATAAGGGACGAACACCAGTCGCTAAAGAGTTTAACTCCGACGACCACGACATCCATACGCACCTAAAATTATCATCGTGGAAAGCAGTTTTCAAAATGATATTACGCGCAAAAATAAAGAGTTCTTTTATATATCTAAATTTAAAACCCTAACCCGCTGTTATGAACATTTCAAAAGGTAACCTGTATAGGTTGTTGTAGGTTTTTAGTTCTTTTGTATGCTACAGTACTACAGGCAAACCATCTCCCCCATCACATAGGAGAGCGGAAAGAGGGAAAGCTCTTTGAGGGGAGAGCTAAAAACATTGGGACTTCCCTCTTTTCTTCTCTTTTTTTTTTTTTTTGGCGGAGAGGGGGGGAGGTCGAGCTGGGAGGCGTTTTAAATAGTAGTTCTTGGTATTCTGTTGTGCAGTGCCACCCACGTGTGACATTTCTGGTGTCCGTTTACACATACTTCGGGCTTTTTAAGATCTTCGTTTCCTTCGGCGTTACACTGGCTGGGGCTCACTCGACTTGACCCCTGTATGTTTTTATTTTATTTTATTTTTCCAGATCTGGAGTCTAACTTTAACGTGATGGAGGTCGCTGCCTGTGATACATTTTCTTTGTTTTGCTGACGAGTGTCGCTACCGTGCTCCCCCTAGTACTACTACTTTTTGGTATCTGTATTTTGTTGGAATGAAGTTTTTTAATGCTCAATGGTTTTTACTTGTACTAATATATAAATAATTTCTTTCCGAATTTTCCCTCTCTCCTTTGGTCTCTCTAAAAACGCTTTGCAACTGTATTTTCTGCGCACTTGAAGGGGGGAAGTTTGTTCCCGAAACGTCGTGTAATAAAGCCTCTACTGCAGTTAAAACATTGTTCTTTCTCTAAAAAGGCCCACGAAAGCTGATCTTAAGCAATTTACATAGCAAGATATCGTGGTTGACGGTATTGAAGGCTTTTGCCACGTCTAGAAACAGCGCACATGAAAGCATATTGTCATCGAACGCGGAGTTCAAAACATCGGCGACGTCATCTGGCAACAATTGCGTGTCCTTTCCAGGCACGAAACCGTACTGCGAGGCTGACATTATGGGGTGGTGGTCCACAAAACTATTCATCACCACAAAGAGATGCTTTTCCAACGAGTGTCTCAGTACAGGCAGAATAGATATAGGGAGGTAGGTTTTTATTGCTTTTGATTGACCCCAATTGTATAGCGGTCTAACAATAGCCATTTTCAACACTTCGGGAATCGAACATGTTTGAATGAAACCGTTTAGTATAAAAAGCAGCACATGTTTTATCGAATCAAAGTTCCTCTGTAGAAAACCAATGGTAATTTCGTCAGCACCTGGTGATCTTGTCCACTTAATACTGAAAAAGGCAGAACGCAAGCCCTCTTTATCAATCTCGCTAAGAAAAGCGTACGCACAATTCGACCCCTTCAAGGTCAATTCCTGTGCGCTCCCACTGGGTGTTTGCTCGAACGAAGCAGCAAAAAAGGTGCTAAATTCTACCACCGTCTCCTTAGGATCGTCGCCAACGTTCTTAACTACGACGTCATCAAGTGAGCACTGGCAGTGGCACCCTTGGAGACCGTTTGCAAGGGACCAGGATTTGAAGATAATAAAACTATTTCTTGAAAATGATTTTTGAAAGTAGATCTTTTTAGCAGAGTGAACAAGAACATTTTCTTTGTTTCTAGTTGCACGAAAGACTTGGCGTAGTGGAGCATTGGCAGGCGATCGCCTCCAACGCGCCCATAACTTTTCTTTCTCCGCGATTGCAGACAACATATCTGCGCTTAACGAAACACAATCTGACACGTCTATTCACTACAACGTTGCGCTGTGCCTTTGTCTTGAAAGAGTCATGGAGAACTA